ACTTAAAAATTTAATTAATTACGGTCAATTTTCGACCACTTGGCGACCACTAAGATTATTATACCACCACACGGCGAATAGTATTTATTTTATGCAAATAAATATGACAGGCCAACATCTCTATTATCTAGAAGTTAGTGCTGTTAGTCTATGTGACTCTTACAGCTTCATTTTGTCTCAGGACGAAATGAAGCTTTTCAGCAGTGGACTTATGAAGGGCTGTGATGATGATGATGATGATGATTCTTTAAATAATGTACGGCTCCGTGGTGCAGTGTCTTGGCAATGAATTGCGGCGTTCAGTGCCGCGGGTTCGAATTCCGCACGGATCAAGTATTTGTACGGCCCACAAACAATTGTTTTGAGTCTGGATGTTTGTTTTTGTGCAAATGTAAGCTGACTCCACAATACATTAGAAAATCCTAGTGTAACGTGGTAACGTTTTGAAAAAGCAAAAAAGAAAACAATAATAATTCTTGAGAATTTACACACGAATAAACACAAAGACACATTATATCCTTTTATCATTCTTTAGTTCATAACAGAATCAGACGTGAATATAAACTACGATACAGATGAAGGGTGATGCAACACTACGTACTGGCACGTAACACTAGTACCGTCATCCGGCATGATACAGTTAGTTACCACGTGAATACGCTGTGGAGACGCATTACATAATCATTTAAAGCCAATTTAAAGCCAATCAACATATATATCCATGTCACTCGAGACTATATCTAGTCTGAGACCGGTTCTATCAGATTACGGTTTCCTAAATACTAAATAGAGATGAACTTATTCGCTGTAAACGATCCTTTAAAAGGTTGGATAAATTTGGTTGGACAAAGTTCAGATTAAATTAGATAGTTTCAAAAAGACTTTACATTCAGAGTTTACTCTTTGGGGAATCTGTGTAGTTATACGTTTAATGAGCCGTGGTAGCTCAGATGGTTAGTACTCGCTGTAAATTTCACATTACGCGAGCAAACCAGGTTCGATCCCCGCCGGCACCAAAGAAATTGTTAATTGCAATTTTAAATGCTGATTTGCCACGTGTTCGGCGGTGAAGGAAAACATCGTGAGGAAACCTACATGTCTAAGAAATAAAAAAATAAAATATATTTCGAAGACATGTGAAGTTCGCCAACACGCATTGGGGCAGCGCGGCGGATTATTCCTTGCCCTAAAACCCTCTCAGAAATGAGTGGAGGCCCGTGCCCAGTAGTGGGACGTACATAGGCTTTAACTGACTTTAGCTTAATACGTTTAATAAATTATAGGAAACAACAAAGTAAAACAAACTAACAAATATTTTTCTCCCTCCAAATCTTTATATTTATAGTAAAAAATTGTGGAAATAACCATGAAATTATTTTAGAAGTATTGTGGCATAGTCTGACAAGGGGGAATCCACAAATATACTGGACTGACGTGACTCCTGACTACATCAGTCACAGCATTCTATTTTCTTAAACAAATTCTTTTCCACTAAGAATTTTTTCTGTACCATGGAGACAGGTACATAATTTGCACATGGAACGACATTCAGAGCCGACACATTTATTATTACACAGCCGGCAGAGTGGGGAAGGAACGCCCCAGAAGAAAGTTTATCGACCAAATTGGCAATATTTTGAAAATGGGCTACATTAGAAGTACTCTTAACCGACGAGCATGTATGCTTAGATATATGGATGTAAAGGAGGCGAAAGAGGTATGTCAGGATCGTGCCAAATGGCCTACCCCTCTAGGTGACAGTCGTGAGGGTTTATGTTATGTTATGTTATACGAACAGTTACTCCGTGCGTGATTAAAACCAGAGGCCCTTTGCGCAGCATCCAAACTTAGTACTGCACTTTCAAGTCGTCAATCTTATTATGACAGCTTTTGATTTGATTTATGATCTTAAACGTGGCAGAGTCACGCTGTAGCTGTATGGTAGCACGATCAGGTCGGCTCGACCGGAGAAGGACCACGCTCTCACAGAACACCAGCGTCAAATAACAGCTTAATGCTGTAGTGCTGTGTCATCCTTAATACAAAAAAGGGGGCAGTACTTTTAACTGTGCAAAAAATCTTTTTTTATAGGATTAGATTGATAAACGAGCACACAGTCCACCTGGTGGTAAGTGGATGTTGTGGCCCATAGACATCGACATTTAACCTCGATTAAGAATCAAAATGCAGATGCATTGACACCCCTGAGGACTAAGATGGAAGCCATACGAAGACATTAAGCAACGATGTATTCTGTGAGAGCGTGGTCCTTCCCCGGTCGAGCTGACCCATTCATGCTACAACCATAATATAGCTGTAGCGTGGCTCTAACACGTTAAGCTTATGTATTAGTTCTAACAATAATATTCATTACCAATAATTTCATTTCTTCCCGTGGGTGTAGTCAGTTGCGACTGAAGAATGTGAATTGCCGGTAAGATTTTATGGCTTCCGATATAATTATGGCTGTATAACCATCATGGCATCCAGACCGATACAGCAGCAACCGATTTAAAAACCCAAGTAATTGTACAATCTGTGTATATAGTGTATTATGTTACTTTGGGAAAAAAGTCTCACTGCAGTTTTTGCTAGTTATCCCCAGGACAGTGTTTTTTTCCGAACACATCATGGTAAGAATAAAAAATTACTTTCATTAAGAATTATTTAAAATCTATATTGGATAAAAAAAGTTCCATTCTATTCTATTATTAAAAGTAATATATTTAGTAAAACGGGATTAGCGATTTAAAAAAAAACATTTGGACGACATTCTAGATATTACATTGATATTGTAATATCCCTTACTCTACTCAAAAGGATTAAAAAATAGCCGACCTCAAAGTATAAATAAAAGAAAATTTTAGTTTACTCGTAGCTTTTGAGGTCGGTGTAAGGATAGAAGAAATAATGTTTTCTTTTTAATCTTTATCTTATCTTTAAAGTGCTCCGGGTGTAACATTATGATAAAATGGTATTCCAATATTTGTCCAAACGGTTTGGACAACAAGTAGCATTTCAAATATTTGTCCAATACATTTGTTTAGTGACCCCTTGTGTTTGATTGTTGTTGATTAAATAAACTCTCAATAGTTGTCTCAGCATTATGTAATATAATGTAACAATAATTTTGTATTATATTAATTAGGTACTTAAAAACAACCAACAGGCTAAAATTCTTCCAATCCAAAATTTGAAAGCTTGTGTAAAAAATTTGAAAGTTCGTTTTTTCCGAATTTACGGAAAATTAATACTTTATTGACTAATTTGCCAACGGCAAGCAAAACTACATATATGTTTTGTATACATTTGTTGCATTTCTCAAACTTAATAATTACTAGCGCAATAAAATCTCAATAACAACTTAATGTGCTTGCTACTCAACAACAGATGTCGCTACTTATAGGACATTATACCCTTTTCTTATTCTAAATAGTTAAATGTTCTTCCTACGTTTTTAAATACTTATTTTTTAATTGGAATGAAGTTTAAGTTTATTTCTTTTTATTAAAAATTCATCAAATCACGGAAAATAAAGATGGATTGTTTAACTTTAGGCAGGTGATATTACATATACAAGGAGATCAATTTCTTTTTATAAATATTGTAATATTATTCCACTTCAAAAGTTACCAAAAAATATTAGGTAGGTATTGTATGTATGGTAACACTTTGTATTTGTTGTAAAATAAATACGTAGGTACATCTGTTAAGCTTAAAATGACTTTATTTAAAAAAAACTATTAAAATATATCTTAGTAGTAAAATATATGACTAATAGGTATTTATATGGGCTGTGCCCGAAAGACCGAGCTAGACGTAAGCGTAAGCTAGCGCATAATATGCTGCTATCATAGAAATATATTTCATATATTATTATAAAAGTAGGAGCGTAATGCTGCTGTTTCGCATGGTGGACATAGTGAACCGGAGACCCTTTTTACTACCACTGCCATGTTCATATTTTGTTTATCATTTTATTGAAAAATAAAATCGGTCCGGCATTTGAAAAGAAAACGGGGCAATACAAAATGATGATTTATCGTTTTGTAATAGGTATAATCCATCCTAGCTGCAGTTGTATCTCTCTATTAACTTTTTTTATAGAATAATGGTGACAAACGAGGACACAGTCCAACTGATGGTAAATGGATGCTGTGGCCCATAGACATCTACACATATCTTCGATTAAGAATCAAAACTCAGATACATAGTAAACTATGAGGACTACGATGGAATGACCCGATTCCAGTAAAAAGGGTCTCCGGTTCTCTACACCCACCATACGAAATACAGCAGCATTTCGCTGCTACTTCACGCTAATTATATAGTCTATATATTTATATAGTATACAAACTATATAATTTTATAATCTATTATTATATAGTCTGTATAAATATAGAAGTCAGGGTGACACACAAGCTCATAGTCTACCTGATAAGTAAATGATGTTATTCGTAGACATTTGCATCCATTGCATCTATCCTCGGAGAGAAATAAGAAAGAATGTCAACTAGTTGCAGCCGTCTATTATAAAATTTTTCAGAGACAAATCACCTACTATTAATCAAGGTAAAGTTAAAGTTACAGCATATGTACGTCCGATTTGCTGGGAACAGGCTTCTTCCCATTTCTGAACGGGTTTTAGGGCGAGAAAATGTCTGCCGCGGTGCCCTAATGCGTGTTAGCTAACTTCACATGTCTTCGATATATTTTTTTCTTATTTCTCAGACATACAGGTTTCTTCGCGATATTTTTATATTAATAATAATAATAATAATATAATAAGGCGTAGGGAATTGACGACCCCATCGCCCGCTGACGTAACAGTTAAGTGACAAAACTGCTACGTCAACGCAGTCAGTCAGCGCCTTGCGAGAGGTGTGAGCGCCGTGCCGCGGCAGAATTTAGGGTGCAGAGGCCCGTTTGTGCTTATGGCTACACACGAAACGGTGCCGGGCCTGGGCGTCTCCCGTTAATGGACGCCCAAATAATGGATGATGGATAAAAAGATAGTGCGCAAAGGGCCGCTGCCTGGGGGTCGCCGGGGCGCGTCTGGAGCTGGCGCTGGACGCGGCAGCATGCGGGCCGCCAGCCGAGCGCGAGGAGCTGCACGGTCATCTACCAGCCCTCCGCATCCATCATCCCCACCAGAAGGCTTGGTGTCGGCTGGGTCTTCTCGGACTCAGCAAGCGGCACCCGCCGCTGGTGGAGCACGTCGCATGCGTTGGTCACAAGAAATGAATGCAAACGCACTGCGGGCGTACTTTAGGGCAAAAGGGGAAGAAACTGGATGTTTGGCGTATCGGGCTAGGATGCATCGTCTTTTTGCTGAGCTGGAGCCATCTTTAATCGTCACAGAGCAAAACCTGGCAGACCGAGTTCGGTATATCTTGCGCTCAAATATATTTGATGTCGCCGAACTCGAACGGCTACGACGTGAGGCTGTTCCCTCGTCGGATGAGAATGCTAGGGCTGAGGATGCGGCGCCACAAATGGTAGAGCAACCCGCAAACGTGGATGCCGCCGTGAATACCCCAGTTGTGGTTGATTCAAACGATGATGGAACAGTCGCCCAGGAACTGGAATTAGAGCATATGAGGAGTATATTGGAAGAGGCGATTGTGGAAACGCGCAGTACGCCTCTCGAAAATCGACCGCGACTTCCCCGCATAGCCCTAAGCAAGCGGAATCGGGCTATCGTGAGGGCTCTGAACCCAATGCTGGTTACCTATTTGGAAGCCAGCCGGGACCTTTGCGAGACGGACTCAATTCTTTTTGGCGCCGCGCTGGCAGTCTGCCGTATCATAGGCGCCAAGGTTTCCACGACTGGACGCGCTACTGGCCATAGTAGCGCTATCCCAGCATGGAGAAGAAGAATTGAGGAACGTATCGCAAAGGCTAGAGCTCTCATCGGCAGACTGATATGCTTCAGATCAGGCAACAAGAGGCCAAGAATTGTGCGCACCGTCAGGATGGCGTTTGCTGGGACAAATGTCAGTTTGTCCCAGCCGGATATAACGCAAAAACTGACGGAGCGCATAGATGATCTGAAGCAGAGAATCGCTGCTTGGGGAAAGCGGATTCGGCGATATACCGAGAGGTCGACACGGTTCAACCAGAATCGTCTCTTCCAGAGTGATCAGAAGAGGCTCTATGAATCATTGGAGCGACCAATGGTAAGTGGAACGGGTCCAGCACCGAATCAGGCCGACACTGTAGCATTCTGGCGCGGCCTGTGGTCAGAGCCCGTAAACCACAGCGAGGGCCCTTGGACGGAAGTTGTGGCGAGTCAGTGTGCGGGACCCCATGGACCCCGTCATCATAACGCCGGATGACGTAGCTGAGGCGGTTCGTAGGGCCCCGAACTGGAAAAGTCCGGGGCTTGACGGGCTGCATCACTACTGGCTGAAGGGGTTCATGGTGTGTCACTCTGTGCTCGCCCGACAGTTTCAAGAGGCTCTCAACCAGAAGTCGCTCCCAAGCCTCTTCACTACTGGGATCACTCATTTAGTTCCTAAAGACCAGGGTACCACAGACCCGAGCAAATACCGCCCCATCACGTGTCTACCGACCATATACAAGACACTAACATCCATTTTGAGCGCGAGAATCACTTGTCACCTGGACTCAAATCAGGTGATGTCGCGCGCTCAAAATGGATGTCGGGGCGGTGGTCGTGGAACCAAGGAACCACTCCTCATTGACGCGGTCATTGGCAAAGTGGTGAAACGCAACCGTCGGAACTTCTCCGCCGCCTGGATAGACTACAGAAAGGCATTCGACTCGGTGCCCCATACATGGCTAAAGAGAGTCCTCGAGCTGTACAAGATAGACTGTACAGTTAGAGACTTCCTCGAGCAGTGTATGGGGCAGTGGAGTACGATCCTTTGTCATCTAGGCGAGCGGATGATGGCTGCGGAGAACCACATAAGGATAAGAAGGGGTATCTTCCAGGGCGATTGTCTGAGTCCAATCTGGTTCTGCCTCTCTCTGAACCCTCTCAGTACCTTACTGGAGGGCTCCGGGAGGGGATTTCAGCTACGGAAAGGAGGGACAAAAGTGACCCACCTTTTCTATATGGATGACCTCAAGTTATTCGCCTCCAGTCGCTCCCATCTTATGGAATTGCTAAACATCACTTGTGAATTTAGCAATTCCATTGGAATGGAGCTGGGGACGGATAAGTGTGCGGTCCTCCATGTTGAAAGGGGAAGGGTTGCTAACTCTGAGGGCGTAGACTTATCTATGCCCGTCAACTTAAGGACCCTTTCCGAGGCTGAAACATACCGATACCTGGGTATGTCACAAAACATCGGTATCGATGAGACTGGTATGAAACAGTCAGTTTGCGACGTGTTTTATGCACGCTTGACCAAAGTGCTTAACAGCCTTTTGTCCGGTGTGAATAAGGCACACGCATATAACGGCTGGGTCATGCCTGTCCTCATGTATACCTTTGGCATACTCAGGTGGACTCAGACTGAACTTAACGCCCTGGATAGAAAAGTCCGCACTACAATGACGTCCCATAGGATGCATCATCCGAGATCGTCGGTAATGAGGCTGTACTTGCCGCAGAAGCATGGTGGTCGTGGCTTCTTGAGCGCGCTCACCATGCATAATCGCGAAGTGTGCAGCCTCCGTGATTACTTCCTGGCGAGATCGGATGATCCATTCTATAAGGACGTCATTTCTTGTGATAAAGGACTTACCCCTCTATCCTTAGCCAACGAGCAATGGCAAGACCCGGCAGTGCAGAGCATTTCCGACCGGGGAGACCGTATGGAAGGAGAAGGAGCTCCACGGGAGGTTCTACAAGGCTCTACATGAGCCTTTCGTAGACACAGTAGCCTCCCTCCACTGGCTACGCTTTGGTGATCTCTTCGGGGGAAACCGAGGGTTTTGTCTGTGCAATACAGGATCAGGTTATTAAGACCAACAACTATCGGAGATACATCCTAAAGGATGGCCCCGTCGACATCTGTCGAGCTTGTCGCCATCCCGGTGAGTCACTTAGGCATGTTATCTCCGGTTGTTCGGCGCTTTCTAACTCTGAGTACTTGCACAGGCACAACCTAGTAGCCAGAATTCTACACCAGGAGCTCGCTCTGAAATACGGTCTCGTGGATCGGAAATTGCCGTATTACAAGTACTTGCCGGAAGCCGTGCTCGAAAATGATCGCGCCAGGCTCTATTGGGACCGGGCCATCATCACAGACAGGACTATTCTTGCGAATAAGCCTGATATTGTGCTGATGGACCGGGCACAGTCAAGGATATTTTTGGTCGACATTACCATTCCGTATGACGAGAACCTCGTGAAAGCCGAAACAGACAAGCAAACAAAATATCTGGACCTGGCTCACGAGGTGACCGACATGTGGGGTGGTCTGCCGACCGAAATTATTCCTGTAGTCGTCTCTGCAAACGGGCTAATCCCAGTCAGCCTCTCGGGTCATCTGAGGCGGCTGGGACTACGTGGCGGACCGCTCCAGGTTCAAATGCAGAAGGCGGTGCTCCTCGATACCGCCCGCATCGTCCGCCGGTTTCTTTCCCTTTCCCCCTAACCCTCGGCCGTTTGGTCTCCCCTGCCGAGGGCCTCCATCTGGTTGGGCTTTTATTTATTTATGTACTTTTATATTTATTTTATGTTATTGATATTTATGTATATTTGTCTTTTCATTTTCATTTATAATTATATATTTATAGCACCCAACCAGATGAGAAAACTATATAGATACCCCAAAATAATAATAATAATAATGTCCTCCAGACCAAATTTTTGCCACGGCGGCCTGCCTCAACGGAGGCTAGCCATCGGCGCAGGACAAGATTATAGTGCCCAAGTGTATGCGCAAGCACAGGTGCACTCTCTATTCACTCACTATCATAATCCGATGGAACGGTAAAACCGACACGACCGGAGAGAGATCAGGCGCAGGACCAACGGCTTTACGTGCTTTCCGAGGCACGGGTCTCACACCGCCAACTTCCTGATCCTCCGGGCAGTTAATGAAAATTTCTTGACGGAAAACTCAATAATTGATTTTTTGGCCCGACTCGGGATTCGAACCCAGGACCTCATATGATCACCAGTCGCACTAATACAACCACTAGACCAACGAGGCAGTATATTAATAATTGTAATAACAATTTCATTAGCGCCGGCGGGGATCGAACCCGGGTTACTCGCGTACTGTACGAGCGCTTAACCCCTGAGCTATCACGGCTCTCGTTTGATCAATCGCGTCCTTATTTGTTACGCTTAATATAAGAAAACTCAGATCAGTGTATAAAGATTAATAAACTCTTATAAGAATAAATCCTACTTGAATTTTTAAACGCATTGATAATAATCTTAATTTCTTCATTAATTTAATGGTGAGATTAAAGTATCGGATATGAAATGCCATCGACCATCTGCAAGTAGATATTGATCTTTAATATTGATTAATTATAACATGTCAGTTATTCTGTGGCAATTTACTTCATATTTTTGTAGCTACCTTAGATTTTACCGTTATCGTTGCAGCCTACCAAAAGTCAACTGCTGAACATTAAGGGGATATAGTAACTCAGCTCAAATTCTAATTTCGCCCCCACTTCCCCGCGCGTCGTATGCTATGTACCGATATGTTTGTGATCACTAATACTGTAAGTAGAAAGGTCGTTAGACACTTATTTCATTAGGTTTATCATATTTATGTCTGTTTCTTAACGCCAAGAAAGCCGCTTCTTATTTTTATCACGGTTATTTCCCATTTTAATTTTACGTCGTACTGTTGCGTAATGTATATTCTGATCGTAAGCGACACAACTTCTCCCTTCAAAGGCCGAAGCGATACTAACGGGGCGACTGGAATCAAGCTCAAGACGCCGATAGTTTAGGTAATTTCTTTTTACAGTGAAAATAATGGTATTTTAAAAAAAGTAAATAACATAAGCACTGCTTTATAGTTAGTTCAGTTAGTATGCAAAGTTTCATGATCTTATTTAAAGTATTTTATGAATAACAGCGGTTTATTGTTTATTTTGTAGGTTACTTTGGATTTTTTTCTATCGAGAAAATTTTACGAAATCGTGTTTTCGTCTAACATAATCATTAACAGTATCCTCAACTTTACCATATATTTATTTCAAAATTAATGCTGCAATATTTTCGGTATAACGAAGGATCTTGCTAAGCCATTTGACATTATATTTCCCCTTAATTACAGTTTTTTAAAGTTTTTATTAGTTCTTAGGAAGATGCTGCTTTCCATATCCTGTTTTGTTTCCCATCGAGAGGCGACGTCTTACGATCCTCATGGGACGATATGGGGTACTGGATATTCTTAAACCGCCACAGTTTTCTGGTAGTATATTAGATTTAACAAAGTTACAAAAATTTTTATAAGATTCAGGTATCATACTTTATTATTAGCATGTAAAAGCTCACAGCTTGAGACGGGTCTTTTTCATTAATCGTGACGTTCGGCCGGCGGAATGAAGATCATCAATCCACCGGCACCTTTGTCACTGCTTCCTGGAAGCCCGGAAGGTCGAAACACGTAAAATATATAGATATTTTTATTTGCTTAAACGGGAGGGTTTTACGAGTATTTCGAGTTCGATTTTGGCCGTTTCCCTTAGTCATAACTGCGAAACTCACGGACGAAATGTGGTGCTGGTTTCTTACGTCATAACTACACAAAAAAACACACACAAATGCTGTGTTAGTCCCTACTTTAACGGATGGTAGTGAAAGTTGGGTGTGGCAGAAGAAACACGAGAATAGAATAAGTGCACTAGAAATACAGTCGCTAAGGAATATGTTAATCTAAGTGACAGAGTAAGATACTGTGTGATAAAAGAAGAGTGTGGTTTGCAAGATGATGTAGTTACCAGGATCAAAAAAGAAATACTTCGGTGGTTTGGTTACGTAGAAAGAATGAATGAAGAAAGAGTGAAAAAGCAAATGTTGCAGAAGTAGACGAAAGTCGGAAAGGGACGTCCTAGGCGAAAGTTTATCGACCAAATTGACGATATATTGAAAATGGGCCAAATTAAGAGTACCCTTAACCGACGAGCATGTATGCGTAAGTATATGGATGTAGAGGAGGCGAGAGAAGTATGTCAGGATCGTACTAAATGGAAGTCTGTAGTCTCTACCTACCCCTTTGGGTGACAGGCGTGAGTGTTTATGATTACACAAATTGTAAGGAATAAACATTAAAAAAGTTGCTAATTCATGTCTTTATTAATTTATTTATGTATTGAAACTAGTTTGTACAGAAAGTATAAATACCTTAGGGTGTTCTTTACCAGTCAACGTTTAAGTAAACAGATAACACTA